TTTTTTTTTTTTTTTTTGTTCTAAAAAAACCAAAAAATCAAACAAACTTTCAACCATGAAATCACAATATTTTGGTAATGTCTATACACGATAAATTTCTATACATGTGTTTTTTTTATTTTTCCAACGACATAAAATCATCTCATAAAACCATAAAATGGTAATGTACAAGGGGAAAACCCCGGCCTGGATACAAAGAGAGGCTCTCACAAAAGGCAGCCTAACCGAGCTAAACACAACCAAACTACCAAACTCAACAACCAAACTAACAAAGACACCACATAGAACACAAAACACCAAAACCCAAGAGAAAAACCAAAAAAGCCTAAGAACTGACCACAGCCACCATAACATATAAGTGGATAGTTGGATTCTCTCTTCTGAAACAGCTTGGGAAGTCATAGAGCTGATCCACCACCACCATTGCTTAAAACTCAGCTGCTCTTGGTTAACTCTGTTCCAATGCACTGGAGCAATCTGCCACACCCTCACTGCTCTATTACATTGAAACAGCACATGGTCAAGTGTCTCTTCAACTTCACCACACACTTTGCAAATAATATCAATATCAAGCCCCTTGGATAAAAGGTTTACATTTACAGGCAAAATGTTAGAAAAGCATTGCCATATAAAATGTTTCACCTTCCCCATGACCCTCAAATTCCAGCATCTATGCCTGGCTTTTTTGTTGTTTCCTGCCATAAGGCTGCACTCAGCTCCCTCAGCAGAGCTCACTAAACCAGCAGCTAGTAAATTATAAGTTCTCTTAACTGAGAACTTCCCTTTGTCAACAAAAAAACAATTCCATTGGTCAGCCAACCTGGGATTTAAAGAATTAATCTGCAAGATTCTCTCAGCATCCTCCTCTGAAAACAAAGCCTTAACCATATTTACATCCCAACAACAGCCACCGGCTAAAATCAGATCCTTGACTAAAAACATCTGGCCATCAATCTGCACCCTAAGAGAGGGTTTACCTCCTATAACTCCAGGAACCCAATTGTGATCAGAAACCTTAACATCAGCACCATTTCTAACCAGAATATTCAGATGGTTTTTAAGGACGGGGAGAACAGAAGACCAAGATTTCCATAACCAGGAATTCCCATGAGAAAACTGCCAGTCAAAGATAGAAGAGTCTGGGAAATACCTGGCCTTTAACACTTTTGACACCAGAAGCTAAGGCTGGCCAATAAGCCTCCAGAGCTGCTTGAGAATCAGAGCTTTGTTCATGGTTCTGATGTCCAAAAAACCCAACCCACCATCTGATTTAGGCATAGCCATCTTCTCCCATGCTTTCCAGTGCAGGTTGTGGTCATGAGAATTACTCTTATTCCACCAGAATCTAGCCATTAACCTGCATATGTTCTTGCACAGACCAATAGGAATCATAAAGCATGACATGACATACACTGGAAGGGCTTGCAATACAGATTTAATTAACACCTCCTTTCCAGCAGTCGACAGCAAACTATTCTTCCAACTCTCAATTCTAACTCTCACAGAATCCTCTACAAATTGAAAAGCATCCTTTTTAGAAGCACCAATCCCCAGGGGAAGCCCAAGGTACCTGGAAGATATCTTGACCACAACTCCCCTCAAGATATTCGCAATATTCCCAACCAGCTCAAAACTGCAGTTTTTACTTAAAAACATGGAGGATTTGTGCAAATTGACTTTCTGACTTGTGAGGCTTTGATACTTGAGCAAGATGTCCAACAGAAGCACAGCATGAGACTCATCAGCCTTGCAAAACACAAGTGCATCATCTGCAAAGAGCAGATGAGACAGCATGGGGCCCCTCTTTGCTATTCTGATGCCCTTGAAAAGACCTGAGCTCATTTTATGATGCACATAAGAAGATAGCACCTCAGAAACAATTATAAATAAGTATGGAGACAAGGGGTCTCTTTGCCTGATCCCCCTAGTAGCCTTGACAAAACCACAGTTGCCCCCATTAAGATTGAAAGAGAAAGTAGGATAGGAGATACAACTGAGAATCCATTTAATAAATTTCCCATGGAAGCCCATTTTGTACATAATTTTCTGGATACATTTCCACTATACCCTGTCATAAGCCTTTTCCATGTCTAATTTAACGGTCATATAGGAATGAGGACCAGACTTATGTCTATGCAAGAAATGAAACACTTCATGGGCAATAACAACATTGTCTAGAAGGCTTCTACCAGGAACAAAAGTTGTCTGAGCACCAAAGATACAGGAATTTAGACACAGCTTAAGCCTCTCAGCCAAGATTTTTGCCACAATTTTATACAACACCCCACACAGAGAAATAGTTCTGTAATTTCCCAAAGTTTCAGGATACAAGCACTTGGGAATCAGAGTGATCACATTATGTTTCCAGTTTTTGAGCATCTTCCCATTTAAGAAAAAACTCTTAACAGCAGAGCAGATATCTTCTTTGATAATACTCTAGAAATGTTTGAAAAAGGAAACAGTCATACCATCCTCCCCGGGCGCCTTGTCAGACTCCATCATGAAAAGAGCCTCTTTAATCTCCTTCTCCTCAACAGCATTAACAAGGAGAGTGTTCAGGTCATCAGAGATTGATCTGGGAATATGTTGCAACATCTCTCCATCTTCAGAGCTCCCTTCAGAGGCAAATAGATTTGAATAGAAACAGCCCATGTGGTCTGCAATGGTTTCCTTGGAATCACAAACCACCCCTGAGATGGTAATAAGCATGTGTATATGGTTAGGCTTCCTCCTCTGAGCTGTGAAGGCATGAAAGAAGTGGGAATTTCTATCTCCCTCTTTAAGCCACAAGGCTCTAGATTTGAGCCTCCAGAACTTTTCTTCCTCCTTATGAGCATGATCAAGATCAGCCTTAATTGCTGACCCTTCTTCCCAATTCCTTTCTTTGCCATTACTTCTCATTTCCTCCATTTTTACAGTAAGAGCTCTAACCTTCTTTTCACTGTTTCTGTGCAGGGGCTTATGCCAAGCTAACAGGGCCATCCTGGTGCTTTTAATTTTCTGATGGATTCGGTACATTTGAGATCCTTCCACTGAAATTTGCCAGCCAGCTTTAACAGCCTCTTGTATGCCTTTCTGCTGCACCCAAGATCTATCAAACACAAATCTCTTTTTACTTCTGACAACTTCTACCTCTGTGTCAAATAGAATCACATTATGATCAGAAGCAGTCCTGTAGAAATTTAGTGCCTCCATCTTTGGAAATTCAACCAACCAGTCATAAGAGATAAAGACTTTATCCAGCCTTTCTTCTACGTACCCATCTCCTGCTCTATTATTACCCCAAGCATAGAAGGCTCCCTTCTGATCAACCTCTAGCATCCCCATATTCTCAATGAAGGCTTTGAAACCACTGAAACTAGCTTCATGTCTCCTAAGGCCACCCCTCTTCTCATCATTACTGATAATATCATTCCAGTCTCCACACAAAGCCCAGATTCTCCCCCATCTGCATTTATTATTCTCCAGAATTCCCATTGACTAGATCTCACTTGCCTATATGTACTCATATAAACAGCAATATCCCAGCACCACTCCCCCATCCCAGGCCCTTTCACCTCTACTTGAATACAAAATTCATTTGCTATAATCTGTTTGATCTCTGTTTCCACATCCCACATAACCAGCATGCCTCCTCTAGTGCCAATGGGCTTTTCCAAAAACCATCTGCTGCCAAAACCGAGCTTCCTACAAACTGTGGTAGTAAATGCCAATGACTTCTTAGTTTTAGATAAAAATATAATATTAGGGTGGTGGTCTCTTATAGAGCCCTTGATCTGGGAAATTGTAGAGGGCCCACCCAGCCCTCTACAATTCCACACCTTGACCTTCATTGGTCACTTTGGGGCCATTTTAGGCTGGCCTTCTCCACCTTGAACCCTTCACAAGCAGCTTTCAACTTCTTCTCAGAAACAGCTTCCTCAATACTCAGACCATCATCTTCATAGATCACCAATTCTCTGTTCCTCTTCAATGATGCTGACTCCTCACAATCTTTCCCCCTTCCAGAGATTGAAGGTGTTTCTGTCAGATTATCAGACAACCTCAACAATCTTCCAGCACTTTTTTTTTTTCTTCTCCAGGTAGAAACTGGCCTAGCTATCTCTGCTCCCTTGGCTTTACCCTTGAGCAGCTCTAGGCTGGGAGAGATCCTAAACCCTTGATGTTCAACATCCATATGAAATTCCTGCCTTTCCCCCAAATGAACATTGAGAGAATACATAGGGTCCACTGAAGATGGGACAATCTCCATACCTCTAGGATTAATAGCCAGAGAATCTGCAACCCTAGCATCCCCCTCCTCTCCCACAGGACTAACTTTATGAACCTCTGATGTAGAATGAGCTTTAGAGACCGGAGTAGCACTGGCAGAAACAATAGAGTCTTGATTAGAATTTTGCTGAGGAGGGACGCTTCTACCTTCTGAGCTGCTGGCCTGAAAGGTTCTCCCACCATGGCAGGTCTCCCTTGCCTTAAGCCACTCTCCAAATTGGCCTTCTATAGGCTTGCCTTTCTCAATGTCCTCAGCTCTGCGATTACAACCTCTATCCAGGTGTCCGATCATCCCGCAGTAATAGCACAGGTTCACTAATCTTTCGTATCTAAAAATAATCGTTGTGTGCGTATCCCCCAACTTCACTGTTGTGCACCTGGGTATTGGTTCCTTCAGATTAAGGCCAACAAGGATTTTGATAAAGCTCCCTACTTCTCCTCCTACTTTGCAGATGACCACGTTCTTCACTTTATTAAATATCTGGCCAATTCTCATGCCCACCTTCGTATACATCAATTCAGTGGCACATTCTGCACTTGAACCCAGATGTTAATTTCATCAAAACACGGGTGAGTACTGTGTAGTCCCTCAAACCATTCCGTTAAAATGAGATACTGGTTTTCAAATAACCAGTTATTCCCCGCCACCACCTTCGCTTTGTCGTCCATGGATGTAAAAAAGAACTGGAAGAAATTTGAACTAATCTCCTTAACCTCCATCACCTGCTGCAACTTCCAAATGCTACTCATCATCCTCTTGACACCCATAATATTCGCAGGCCTGTCTCCCACTATTTTGCCAAACAAGCTCCGCTCACATTCTTCATCACCTGCTTTGACATCATCCATTCTCAACTCGACACCTCCCGCCTCTTTTTCAGACAGCGAACAAGCGTGGAGTTTTCGAATCACTTCTCCTCCCAAATCACACCCAAACTCCTTCCCACCACTTGAATCCCCCATCGCAGAAAATCAAGTCCCCAAATCAACAAACCCTAGATCCAGAAAGCGCAAACTACTGAAGAACACACTCACGGAAGAGCAAAGCAAAACAGGGAACTGAAAGAGAAACAGCTCCCAAAGGAAGAATTCAGGATCTCAGCAAGATAATTTGTTCTAAAAAACCAATAAAAACTTGCAAGTCAAACAAACATTGAGCCATCAAAATCGCAATATTTTTTGTAAATGCCTGTAAATTTCTATACACATGTTTTTTCTCCTTTTGTTTTTTTTTTATCTTGTTCTAAAAAAAGCCAAAAAACTTGTAGGGCGAACAAACTTTGAACATTAAATCACAATAGTTTTGGTAAATATTCTATACACAAATGTTTTTTTTTTTTTTTTTT